ACTGCACCCAGTTCTGACAAAGAGAACCCCGAATCCACTACTAGCACCAAGGAGAATGGCTCGAAGCGGATAACGAAAGAACAGATGGACAGGATACTGGCGTGAGGTTGAGGGAAGGGCGCGGCAATACGACCCCCCGAAGAGGTACTCGCGAGGGACCCATGGATTAGCAAGTTAAGATCCAAAAGCGCAGCATAGCTTCATCAATTACCAAACCAACAACTATAGAATACTGCAGGGAAGCCGAGCCAGTCGCTTCTAACGAGGTGCCGGATTTTGGGGACAATATTTGAGACTCAAGGCCATCATCGCGGCGAATATACCCACCTCTACGTATGTACCTATTGCTAGAGGGTTTGAACAGGACCGTAGCTGGTCGACGAGTATTACGGCCGACCTACGCATTGAATCCCAGAAGTCCCGTCGAGAAAGAGCATCAAAAACGACCTAACCAGCAGACTATTATAGTTTACATACCTACACATGAAGGACATCACGAGGCGGAACCTAGAAGACGCAGAACCATATCGTTGTTGCGCGGAGATCGCTAACATCTCTTAGAGACTACGGAAGCTACATATCCATTACACGTACCTAAGTTGTCTTTGCTACATGTGATCCCTATGTGGTCCCAGGCAAACCCTTCACATACAGGAGGTACTATCAACATCTCCGTATCTCCTGAAGGAACCCAGGGGCCACTTCAGATGGGCACAGCCAGCCTGAACGACTTCATAATGGAGTCTGGAGATAATTATCGAGCAGTGGAAAATTGGTGGCATTGAGAACATTTACAGAGCGCCTTGGAATACTACGTACGTATGGCTATAATAGACTTATGAGAGTATGCTGTATAGCATGCAGATATAAAGGCGTAGCTAGACTATTTTAACCCTTAGAAGCGTGCCTACAAAGGTTATAGGTAGTTGTTGATACTGGCCAGTCGGTGGACATGCACGTGGCTATATGTTCGATTTTGCTTGGCTTAAGTGAGACTTATATGTATGCTGGTAGATAAGGAAAGGTACTAAGGTATAGTGTGGTTATATGTATGTATATGCAGGCACATATGTAGGCTAGGTGCGTATAAAACTACCTAACTAATAGATAAAAATAAACGCTAGCTTAGGCAGCCTTCGGGATACCTGAATGGGATAGCTCCCCTCCATCCTCTCACCCAAGGTCTTGGTTTCGTGAGCTAATTATAAATACAACATATTAAGTTATTAACTACCTATGTATCTGGGTTCCTTTTTTTTTTTTTTTTCTCTCCCCGAAATCACATGCTTATCAATGTTTCGGGGGGACGATACGATACGATGAGGTGAGGTGGGGAATGCTCCAGCTATCACGACAATGGGTCTGGTCTCAGAACCCGTTTGCTGTGACGAGATACCAGACTTGCTTACGATATGGAGAAACGGCGCTTTGATTCCCGTTAGTGTTCGCTGTCATTGCTATTGCTTTTTTATCGTTGTCACTAACTAGTAGGTAGCTAGTCGGCCCGGGTGATCGTGAAAGTTGGGAATCCCCCGATTAACTATGCTGGCCCGCTTAGAGGAGGAGTCATGCTTGCTTGTGAGGTCTGTGACCGTGCCCAACAGACAGGCAGGACCGCTACACTAGTCTGGGCTGAATTCAAACCGGCCTTATACAACCAACATAAAATTACCTGTAGGTAGGTAGGTAAGCAAGCAGGGAAAGAAAAAAAGTTTGAGGGTATACGACCAAGCTTACTAGGTCCCTGCGTATGTATCTAGTGGATGTGGCTACCTGAGTTATCATCTAGGTCGACAGACAGGCATGCTGGCGATGTCTCACTACATATGCCCAATTTAATTTTACCTTCATCGTGAAGGATGAACCTCGCAGCCTTGGCCTCATGTACGAAATGAAGAAATTTTATGCCATGCCATGTCATGTCATTGAACGAAAACGAAGATGTCAGAAACCCTTGCTTGCTTCGCTTTTGAGGGCTTACACCTACCTGCATGGCTTCTATCTAGGTATCTACGGGGACTTTTTATCTATCGTATGACCAAGATATCGCATCGTATGTGATATGCTTGTTGGCTGTCTCGTAAACCTCACAAATTGACACACAACTTTCTCCATAGCCTTAGACGGATGTCTCAGGAATCCATTGGACATCCTTTGGGACTGAGTATAGCTCCAGTAGTTGCTGTGCTATCGGATACCTACCTACCCGCTCTGGCGTACCCCATATTGTTCATTGTCAAACACTTGACCGCTTCCGGGTCCTCTCAGGAGGTGCCTACTTGGATTGTTTCTTTGGGGGGGTAAGTCTGGGGACAAAGACAGAGAGTCTAGGCAGACACCTCGATATAGATGCACATTGAACAGAATGTTATTTACAGGAAGCTATGCAGAAAGCTATACGCAAACAAACTTTCATGGTTTATAATAAAACCATCCAGGCATTCTTTGTTCCCTCGATGTTCGATCGTCTCTGGTTTCTTTTCTTAGCCTCTCCGATTGTTGAGCCCCAATAGGGGGGGATCTAGCTGTATTGCTTGTCTGTCTGTCTGTCCTAGGTGAAGCTACTTGCGAAATGAGAATGTAAATTAGAACATCAATAAGATAAATCATACAGTTTTAAGTTTTTAGGTCTTGATTCTAGGTAATGTCAAACTATTATGGCCTATGCTAATGAAGGTTTGTAGCGGTATTTTGATCGTTAACAGGTCATTGAAGCCTTGAGTTGACTACTCTTATAGCTTAAAGCTAACTTGACGTCCTGGGTCTTATTATATTAATAGAATTTAGCAATCTCAATGCTTTCTAACGCAATCCAAGTATTTTTTGGTAATATCAACCTATGTATTATAGTATCAGAACCTACATCTGTAGGTAGATAGCTCAGAGTGGATGAGCAAAAAGTGATCAATAGGCTACCTGACCTACATGTACATTACCTACCAGACCTTGGAAGATCGTAGTCGCAGTCGCGCGCGCGCCGCACACTCACCTCTCTCCCCTATCATATCTCAGACCCAGGCGCCGATCCCTTTATCTGAAAAAAAAAAAAATAAGTGCTCACCTAAGAAAAGAAAATAAGATGTTGTCGCCGGCGGGTCGGTAAGCTTGACCCGCCCGATAAGCATTTGTCGGAGAAAAAAAAAAAAGAAAAAGAAAACGTATAGGTACTTTTTTTTTTCTCTTCCCCTCCCTCTCTCCCCCTTCCTTGTTCTTTAGAAAAATTTTATTGTATTTTCGTTTTTATACTCTTGGGCATCAACCAATGACCCCTTCGTGAAATTGAAACCGACGGGTAGGTATGCCAGCAGCGGTCAAAGTCTTGGAAAAATTCATGGGAGAGACCCCCACCCCCCTCTCTCTCCCTCCCTCCCTCCCCGGACCGGGTCTCGATCGGTCCATCGCGAAACGATATGAGAAAGAGGGTTGAGAAAAAAAAAGATGAGAGAGAAAAGATCAGAGTTAGGAAGGAAGCGAGAAAAAAAAAGGTAGAAAAAAGTACATGCCCACCTAGTACATATAAGATATGAGCAAGGGTGAATGATTATGTGCCAGGTTAGCCAGGTAGGGTGTAGATGGTTACATAGGTGCACGGTAAGGCCGGGTAACGTGGCAGGGTGCCCACGTGCGATAATGAAGCACGCATTATGGCGTTTTTCCATTTGCGAGAAAAAAAAAAAAGAGAGAAGAGAAGATAACTAGTTAGTTAAGATGGCAAGGGGAGAAGAGAAAAAAAAAAACTTCTCTCACCCAAACAAAAATATCCACTCATCCACGCCCCTCGGACCCTCGGAACCACAACCCATAGCTCAGCTCCTCAAGCTCCATACCTACCTGCCTGCCTACTTATCTATCTACTATGCTATGCCGCCGTAGTTATCTATACATAGGTATGTAGTGTACGGAGCAACAGCAGTCTCCTCCCCATTTCCCTCCACGCCACGCGCGAAGAACCTCAACGCTGGCTACCTAGGTAGACTAAGTTAAGGTAAGGTTATTACTAATTTACTAGTAACTAGTAGTTTGATATCTATCGCACGATAACTATGTGTGATGTGAGACTTGAGTGGTAGCGGAAGCGGTACCTTGCATGGGACCATTGCATCCGGCACTCCATTCGGGGGCAGGGAAGGGCACGGGCCGGAAGCTGGTTGCCCTGTCACTACACTACACTAACTAACTGACCTACCCAAATATTCCCATCCCATCTCCCTTTCCCTTTTTCCTTATCGAACGGAGCTAAAATATGTAGTTATGACCAGGGGGACACCACGGTGAAAAGCTAAGCTACCGTAACCTAGTCGACATACCCTACCACTAACTTATGGGTTCTATGTTAAGATTTGTTGATCTACCTACCCTGGATAGATACCCTTTCCTGGCTTTCAAGATGTTATCTTTTTTTTTTTTCATTTTTTTTTTTTTCATCTTCTCCTTCCTTCTTTTTTTCGCTTCCCATCGTTGGGCTTCGGGAGCCCAACCTTTTTTCCCCTTCAAACCTTCTAACCTACCTACCTACCTTTCTACGCATATAATGTACCCAGTGTAGATGTAGGCAATCCTTGCGATACCTATAGGAGAATATTTAAGGGGAAATAGGGACCCATCGTTAAGCTGTCGTAATCGTTCCTTTTTTTTTTTTTCCTCCCCTCTCCTCTCCCCCCTCCTCCTTTCTTCCTCGCTTTGGTTTTATTCTTAGAATCTATAATCTATTGTGGCCCCCCCCCCTTAGGCTCGCTACACTATTGAAAACACCACCCCCTGAAACTTGGGTAATCTGATTACATTTTAATGCAATGATGAAAACAAGAAGGCTGGGTAGGTAGACTGTAAATGAGCCCAACATGATGCAATTTCAATAGCATCACTAAGAGGGGACTGTGCTCTCATGCCATTCTATTCATGTCAAATCGAGTTACTGTAATCGCAATGGACAGCATGGCTTCAGTGAAGTCCCAGCTGCCTAGATACTGCTGGCTTAGGTACTTGGATGGGTAAACATTATAGTCTTTTGAACGCCTATATGCATATAATGAATTTTGTTACATGATTTGAGACTCGCGTCTTCGTTGGGGGTATATGATGTAAAGAAGTGATTAGTCTCAAAGCAGAATGATCGCGGGAAGATAATCAGGTTAATAAAATGAACAGCCCTGTTATCGCAGTAAAAGGAGCCTTAACGCCGTCGCAAATGCTGATACCTCATATCACATGTCATAAGGGGGCCTCCTCTTTGGTGTCATCCATCTATCAGTCCCCGGCCGCGAGGCTATTTACCTCCGCATTACCTCTATGATATACCTCTATATGCTGTCCATGACACCATCTATTTCTATCCTCTAACTTGTTGCTTTTTCAGAATTCAATACTCGCTTGCTTGACGAAACCAATTTTTTTCCCTGCCACCCGGACGCCTAAACTTTCAACCCAACAACGGAGAGTAGATGTTGCACAACCTCAAAGGGTCCATAAGCCACTTCTTCGCTTTCCTAGTGGATAGACAATCAAGGCACTTAGGAATAGTCCCACAGTGATGCCAATAGCGATTTGGATCATCGAGGCTGCTACATTAAAGACAATGGTATCTAGTGGCTGATTTGTGTCGATCGTGACCTTGATAAAGTATTAGTTGAATGCCACAGTAGGAAAAAAAAATCACAAGAATGTAGAGACTTACAGTACTAGTACCATTCACGACTTCCGTCGAATTATTAATCTCGTTGGCTGCACTTAGCCCACTCAACAGACTTCCTGTCGCTGCCAGGCCACTGGGCACCTGTACGAAGATAGCCGGCAACAAGGCGGCGGCGGCAACACCATGTCTCAACCTCGAATACAAATTGGCTAGGACACCAACTGTAAAAGCACCCAATGTGTTGGCTATTTGCGGACTCGCGTGGAATTTGGGGCTGCTGAAGAAGTTTACGACGTAACCAGCAAAGGCGATGACAACCATCGCTGGCATTTGTCTCCACTTTGCCTGATTGACGAAAGCAAGACACATGGTAAAGAGCGGCACAAAGAAAAATCGATAGTACGTAGGTATCGGGTTTGCGCAGGTTGTGGCCGAAGTAGCGTGAGGGTCCATTAAACCGTAGAGAGCAGTACCAACCGTGATACCAAAACCGAGGAACAGCGAATATATGATGGCATATACCATGCGGATAGACCCAGGCACTAGGGCTCGGGATTGAAGTTCAAGAGCAGAGCAAACTGCGATGTTGGTTAGACTCAAACATACATCAAATTTAATAGGGTCGTATACTTACGGACAAACCACCCGGGGAGAATCAAGGCGATAGAACTTTGAGCTAGGGACGAGAAACAAAACAGCGTCCCACCCTGAATACTACCAAATGCCCTGCTTAAAAAGCTCGTCAACACGGCGGCGCTGATCTCGAATACGTTGTTGTAAAGGTCGGACTTTGGCGCGACAATGATCTGTAGTGTACCAACGAGACATCCTAGGAAGAAGCAAATCGGAAGGTCGATAAATTGTCCATCGAATGCGAAAGGGGCGACAGTAGCGCTCGCTAAGCCGAATACCAAGACTCTGACCCACGCATGGAATTTGTCCTTCTTCTCCATTACAGTTGACAAAGAGTTGATGGCTTCTTCTAGATCAAGCTTATCGTGGAGAACTAGTTTATATATTTCGTGGACGTCCCTGAGCTTCCCGAGATCGATACCCTGATTTGCCCGTACTATCTTCACCTCGGTAGTGTGGGTAGAACGGTCGTCAAAGGAGATAATCATGCAGCCGGGTAAGTAAAGGAATTGGCCATCGATTTCGAGTACTCTTGCCGTCATTCGTAAATACTCTTCAAGGCGATGAGTGGGGGCTCCATATAACATAAGAGCCTTGCACATCTTTATGATGTACTTTTGACGAGTTAGTGTCTCCGCAATATGCATCGTAATACGAATCTCATCTTCGATCCGTGGTCGACCAAAACTAAGCATTCGACCACTCGGGCTTCGTCTATGTTTGGGTCGCTTGGGTTTTGAGCTACCCGCTGCCGGGCCACTAACACCGGCGCTCGCGAGGCGCGCAGACGCTTCCACCAAATTGGCCAAGGTGTCTTGCGACCGGTTCTTTTCATACCACTTCCGTCGATTCGGGGTCGTAACACCAGAAGAACCAGGTGTGGTGAATTCACTTCCGGCCTCAGACTTCCGGCTGGGTGCATAGTTAGGAGATTGACTTGTTTCGGGTTTGTATAGCTTTAGGAGATTTGATAAGACACTGGGGCGATATTCCGAAGGTGCTGGTATGTATAGTTCGTGCTTCGATCCATCGATGGGTGTCAGTTGACCAGAACTCAGGGCAGTATGAGTTGGCGCCGGGGGATACCCTCCCATGGTATGCCTCTGCGTGTGGGATTGGACCAGATTGCGTGCCTCGATTTTCGACATGCGCTGGTCCCTGGAACGAGCCTTCTCCGTCTTCTCTGAAGGCTCAACATTGATATCCGGAACCGGTATAGCGAAGTCCTCGAGGGGTGGGTTAGCGAATCCCGGGACTACTTCACCAGCATTACCACTATTCACTGTGTCTGCCTCGGAGTCTAGAGAAGTCCTTGCTGATCCAGGGGCGGATCGCGAACCTAACAGGCCGGCTGCCACTTGCTGAGCACGATGTTGTGCCGCGTGCGCCGACATGGCTTTCTCGGAGGTAAGGTCATCGTTATCGACGGATTCAGGAATGCTAGTCACTGAGTTGTAAGAGTTCCCGCGCAAAACGGAAGGCCTAGGTCGTGAAGGAAACGACGGAGACTCATGTCGACTCTGTGACGCTGAGAAACCTGAAGAAATATCTAAAAACGATGGAGGCTCAACTCCGGCGATACTGTTGAAGCGTACCCGACCCTTCTCCTTCCTCGTCACGGCGTTAAGGTCAGGTGAAGCTGGACTTTGAGGCTCCTCGTTGGGAGGAGTCGAAGCTGCGCTAGCATCGTTGCGAGGCGATCCTGGGGTCTTGTCCATGCCGACCGAATGGGTAGCTATCGGTGGCTAAGTTGATGAGAGGTAGATAGAAATATAAGAGACCTGGCGCAGAAAAGGGAGCGAACGAATAGGTCAAGGCAATTGCAATACGTAAGGCGTTAAGGCGTTATGCGTAATGCACTAAAACACCTTACCAAGGTTACCAAGGTTACCAAGGGAAGAAGACGGTAGGCCGGTCCAAGCGAAACTCTAAGGTTTTATTTCTGGCGTAAGACGCTATATGTAAAGGTGGGTGGCGCGGAGGCGAAGAAAACGAGGAATAGGCTTAAGGTAAATCGGAAAACTTAGAGAGTAGAGTCACTCTTAGTGTAGGTTAGAATGGGATATGATGATGAGAAATCAAGTATCCGATCGCAAACAAGACCTGACTAATACAATTCGAAAGAGATCCTAGAACGACGACGACGACGAAGAGAAGAAAACTTTGAGGGACAAACAAAAGAACTGTCGAACCATGATTGAAGAATTGGATATAATGAGATGAGATGGGATATGAAGAATCTTGGGTCCAAGGTCTGGTCTGTCTTTAGGGTCCTTTAGGTCTTTTAGGTCTTTCTGGGTCCTTTGGGTCCTTTGGGTCCTTTGGGTCCTCTTAGGTCCTTTTAGTTCTTGTAAGTCTTTAGGTCTTTAGGTGTTGGTTTTAGGTCTTGGGAAGTTTTGGATTTAAGGAACTCGGATCTGTCTTGGGCCTCAGAACAGGAACAGGAACAGGGACTGGGACTGGGACTGATACTTGGAAACTTGGGACTTCAAAGTGGGATCAATGATTACGACAAAATGGTCGCGCTACAGGTACATGTAACTCCCCGTAGAACAAAGCGAAGGAAAGAGAAGGGCGGTCCAGAATTTAATAAAATGGGGAACTCTTCAGACCGATCTTCAAACCCGGAGGGGCGCTTGTATGGTTGTGGTGCTCAAGCTCGAGCTTTGTACCAGCTAGTTAGTAGATTGTACAATACAATACAATGTGATAGTACACTATCATACTATACTAAGTTAATAGTAGTACTATATCATAAAGTGGGTAGATTTAGCATGAAGTAGCATGAATAATAGCATGGAATTGTATAGCGTGTAATATGTCGTGACTCGCATCCATGGACCACGACAGCTTCATGTTTTTTTTTGTTTAGATAGATAACTGTTGTCGTTGTTGTATGCAGTGATGTAAAGGGTTGCAGGTGGTGTTAGATCCGAATGGTGACAACCGGGTGGGCCATACACACCATCTCTTAGCCTTACCTAGTAACAAAGTGTGATAACGGGCCGATGTACATACAGCGCTTGCTGTTGAGAGCTCAGTGTCGCTCTGGGATTGGACATTGGCAAAAAACTACCGGCAGAGGCACTTCATATGGATGGGAACAGCGGCGTCGCTCGTGAAGTGTGACCCTTCGGTGGCTAGCTAGATGACGGGTGACCCTCTTCTTTCTTATCTCGTTGAGACTCCACCTACGGGAAAAGAAACAAAAAAAAAACCTAGAGGGGGATTTGGCGATCCAGGCCTCAATTGAGAGATGGGCCCCAACATCTGGTTGGGTGGAGCGGTAAGGAATATTACCGGTAATAGCTCGTAATGTAGTGTTCTGACGTCGAAGAAGGATAAGTGTGTATTTACTAAAGTGGGACAAAGTTGATATGTGTGTAGCCCTGAAGGTATGTATGTACATATGCTGTAAGAACTTAGAAGATGAAAAACATGTACATACCTAGGTACATATGTATAAGTAGGTCTGATAATGTTGGCATCCATGGATATTGTGTGTGGTGTATGCATTTGTTGCATCTGTTGCATCTGTTGCATCTGTTGCATTTGCCATTTATCAATCAACTTGTCATCGTGGACATCTTAGTTAGCCGCGTAGTAGATCAGTGGATCAAATCTGTTTCCCCTTCTTTACCGTAACCTCTCTTTCTTTTTACAGCTTCCCTGGTCCAAAGCTTTTAAAGTGGCCAAGCAAGGCCAAGCTGGGATGAAGTCGGCTAGCATGCCCAGGTGTTTATAAAAAAACACAAAAAAAAAAAAAAAGAAGAAAAAAGAGACGTTGTAAACGAATTGGTTAATCCGGACCTGGTTCCCTGCACATACATAGTACGCCGTAGTTAGATGCATGTATTCATGTACATATACACTTAGTTATATCTGTACATATGTACGTATAAATTAAGAATAGAACTTCCTCCCGGTAGTGAGACAAGGCACGGCAGAGCCGCAGGGGCAGAGGGCGATATATTGCTGAAATTTCACATGCGTGGCATGTTCTCCAAATGCCGGTTTCCTTGATTGGAGCGGTTCATGATTCGACGAACCCCTTCTGGGAAATTTCGAGAAGAAAGTAACGCCTGCGGTTGCCAGCGGCTGCAGCGGGTCAAAATCTTTTGGGCATTGCATGGATTGTAATACCCCTGTATACAAAATGTGTATGGACAGTTAGGCAGGTTAATCCATGTACGTGTATACCAATTTAGGATCCATAGATCGTTTTAGGGTTTTGGGGTCCCTTGCACCTACCTAGCAGGTAGAATCTCTTTTATGCTGCCTATTACTCGCTAATACTAGGTAGATGCTAGGTATTTATGTTTATTATGTGGCTTTTCCAGGTTCTTCCACGACTAGGTGCTCTAGGTGCTTACAATTAGTTACAATACTTAGGAAACCACGGCCTACGGCTATGCACAATTTACGGAATACTACATCAGGGCTAGCGCAGATCCCTTTTCTCCTTACCTTCACCTCCCTGTACCTTCGTGTTGATCCTGCCTTAGATAGGAATCTAGCTCAGGTGCCTTACGCAAGCTTCAGGTCCTACTCGTAACGATTTCCGTAATTCCCAGCATGTCAAACCCTCAAAATCTATTTGCCAGGTGTTGGCCGAGTGTTTTCCGATCGCTATCAGCTGCCTAGACCAGCAATAACCAACAGTAACCAACAATAACCAACTCACATCCCACGCACAATGATATCATTGATATGAACTGATATCACCATCAATTACCCCCTCCTTTCCTTCCCTACCATGTGTAACATTCAATGTTTAACCAATTTCAAGAATTGAAAACATTTCTAATTCCACTCTTCCAATCTTCCACTCTTTCATCTTTTCCCCTCCACATTCACATCCACATCCACATCCACATTCACCTCCACCTCCACTTCAACCTCTTTGCACTGCATGTGTCTTGCCTGCCTTTAGGTCTCGTCTTTCATCATCTGTATTCCGTGATCGTAACAAATACATGCTAAGTTTGCGTAACTAGGCAATTGATCTCCTCACGTGTGGTAGTATACAGCTCTACGTAACTCTACGCAACTCTATACGATGTCAATAATGATGGTTATGACAAACGATTCTTCTATTCTGTTCAACCATACCGATACTCTTTCTGTTCTTTCTTGTACGTTATTATCCCCTTTGGTGATACTGATGTCCGATCATTTCCCCTAGAGGTCCTACTCGTGGACCGATATATTATACACGACATTTACATAGATCACATTACATACATTACTATGTGGTACACAACACAACATCTGGTTGCAGACCCTTGTGCTCTGGGAGATCTGCAATGTCAATCAGTTGCCAAGTCCTTTATCTAGAAGCAGCTGCAGCGACCTGCAGAACATCGTGCTATTACTAGGTACATGTACCTACCTAGCGGCTATCCTACAGATTGTCAGATTCCTACTAGGTTAGCTATGTACATACTGTACATACTAGGAATAATGCATGTGGTAGGTAGATGACTAACATGGAAGGGAACTGACCATGCAGCCTTCAGTTGATGTTCTAAACATTTGATGTTCTAAACATTTGATGTTATACATACATAGTACTATTTGTACTGTAGGTATGCAGTATCACTCACCATGCAGCCATAATATGGACGTCTGGTACAATACAATCGGCTCGCACCGCCCAATCGGTCAGCACCAAACTGAGGTACGGTGGGCTACGGCCGACCACTACCGGACGGGTGTAGCGCAATACATTATGTTGTCCAAGCCCGGGGATGTTTATAGAACGCCGCTCCAAGGCCGCCATTCGTAATTGATATCTGTTAGACGTTGGCGCCATCTCTCTTAGCTCCCTACCCACGATAAGATCCAATCACTATCCCGATTGCATCTAGTCGATGTCCGTGCGGACGAGCACCGCCCATCTAGACCCTTTCTTCTGCTTCTCCGGTGTTAGGTGGTGGGTTGTATCTTGTGTTCGCCGGTTCAATCGAGACCTCAAGTGTTTTACAGCCCCATACAATTGGGATTTAGGACTTGACAAAGCCTCCACCGGCTGTCTCCGCCCTCCTTTGTTCGTCACGTCACGTTGGCAAGTTGGTAAGACTGAAACGGTATCTAGTCTCACGACCTATAAAAAAACAAAGGTATAAGGAATTGTCAATCGATCGTCTCATGCTCCGGAAGTGTATTACACGTACCACAATGACCTCTATCTAGAATCTAGTCTTTTTTTTTTTTTCAGTCGCAGTTGATGTCTCCTTCAATTAGAGATACCTAATTGATGTAATACCGAGAATAGGTACCTAACCTAGGTTTGTCAAAAGACTTCGCTTCTGCATTTTGCATCATTAAAGCTCGATCATAGCCCTTTCTTCAATGCTCGATATCGATGCACTATCCGTCGGATGTGCCCCTCTATGGTGAGAAACGTCTCTTCCTGCTTCCATATTTCACTCCAGTACGCCAAGGTCACTCAACAACTCTAGGGGGGCTGGTATCTGATATCTTGGAATTGTCTATACACTATCTGCAATGTTCCTAGATAGCTGAACCCAAACCTAACCCACTTGCCTGCACTTGTCTGCGAGGGCCGAGTCAGTGGGATGAAATACCCGTGAGCCCGTGAGGGAGCCATAGTCCGTGATACGGCAATCCACCTGCCCCCTGACTCCACGGCTCCACCTGGCTTGAAGCTCATAGGAGGCCGTACTGGCATAGCCCCTCCTCATCCTCGTGTCTTCTTTTTCGCCCCCGATCAACAATTTCAATAATTTCTATTACTATCACATATGATTATTCAACAGCCGGAATTGCTGAAGGAACAACACTTTCCGTTTGTTTTAGACGAGGACACTTTGTAATATGTCGAGGATCGACATGCGCATTGTTAGAAATAGAATACAGTTAGGTTAGGTAGGTAGAAAGGTAGCTGTCCAACCTGGTATCAATTTCAGGAACGAGGTCAAATAACGAAACGTCGCAATGTAGTGACCTATGGTGTAGGAATAAGAACCGCCAAAGACACCCCTCTCCAATAGAAACTCTAGGCGAGCTGCAAGTCATTCTTGGCTCCTATGGCAAATGCAATTACCGGCGAGAAACTTCCTTCTCATCATAGTTCTCATCAGCCGTACCTGATGCGCACTGCGAAGCGAACATTGCTAGCATTATCGCCAGCGCAGACACATGAAACGTGTGCCTGACGTTACTCTGCAAAGGGCGACGCGACGTCGAGAGTGAACTCGCACTCGGCGACTAGATCGGAAGCTCAATGCGGTAGACATTGCTGCGATAATAGCATGAAGATCTCCCTCCATGCAAGATCGTCTTCACCACGTATAGGGTAGTTCATTCCTACCTAGGTACATACCTTTACTCATAGTCGCAATCAAGTAACCTCATGGTAAGAACCTGATACGACATAGCATGGATTGG